TTTTTAACAATATCTGAACTATTTGCAGCATGACACGTTCCTTGCTGCAGTTGACCACATGTACCTGTTGATGTTCCGTACGATGCAAAATCAACTTGACTTATTACGCCACCGTTTTGTTCACAAGATAAATTAATTGAAAAGTTCTCACCAACATTACCACATTGAAATATACCTGATGGAGGATCGAGTTCAGCAACCGCTAATTTAGGATAAGGAAACCAAACAGCATATCGAGTATATTCAGCATTGAGTTGTTTCAAATTTGCGAAAACTTGTTGATGAACAGGTGAAAATTCTCTAGTTGCAAAGGGATTGGTGACAACTTGTAAACTAGCAACAGTATGAAGATCATAGTCATGGGTAGTCCAATAGACTGCGATAAGAAAAGGATCAGCATTGGCTCGGTCATTGTGAAGCTTCTCAGATTCATATAATGCTAGTGTGAGACTAATGGTGCACGCAAGGTGGCATAATATCATCACCATGATATATTGAACGATATTCATGTTTAGTACTACTACAAACACCAATTGATTTTTATATAATCTAAAATAGAACAAAAAAAGTGTTATACAATGCTTTCATCTTTGTAACATTGACACTGATAAAAAAAAGATGAAGTCTCAAAAGCTTTGTTACTTATTAAAGTAATCTTTTTTTCCTTTTTTTCACTACACTCTTAAAAAATATAAACTAAGTGACCGTGCACTGCCCTCTTCTTTCTTCTATTTTACTTGCGTGAACATTTTTCTATTTTATTACTGTGCTCCATAAGTCAGGCACACAGAGGAAAGTAAAACAGAACAGTAAAAAAAACAATCTACCTTATGCACTTTGAGCGACGGAGTTGCTGACGGTCGATGAGAGAACAGAAATATATGAAGAGAAAAAACCAGCGTTGTCGATTCTACCTACCGAATCGATGAAGGGTAATCAACGATAAAAATGTATACACTTTTGCACATGGCTATTTTATCGAACAAACATTTTGTAAAGTTTATACGTTCAAAGATTTAGAATTTTTCGATAAATCATTCGTGTTAGTAGAACACATTTTACATAGAATAAAGTTTATCCAGTGTAATTTTCTACAGTTTCCAGCAAACGAATTCATTTTATTTTCAAGAATAGAAGCTCCAACGCTCTCTTTAATGCCTAGTTAAGCGGCTACATTGAAGAAATCTTTTTTTTAAATAGTTTATTAGCGAAATACATAAAACATTCGAATCACATAGAAAATTCTGGTTTTTTTTAATGGGTGTTTCGTGTTTATCAATTTCTATTATCAGGGGGCATATGAACAACAGCAACAGCAAATGGACTTAATGTTATTTTACTCAATTCTAATGTGACTTCAGTAGGTGGACCAAAGCCTGATGTTTCATTTATAATTTGCATTCGACCACCAG